CAAGCTTATCCTATCCTAAGGGAATAGACCATTGTAGAGAATAGAATCACCTTGCGTATAGCCACGTGAGAATATTGGCTTTAAGGATTCCCGGTAGGATTACGCTAGATAGCATTAGCCAGTACATCCCGAGCCTTGTCGGTGATATAATTATAATAATATGATAAACCAAAAGATAGTGAAAAATGAGGAATAGGAAACCAAAGGAGATGAGATAAAGACCAAATGAATCAGGATAAAAATAAGAATGAGATAGAGAATACATATAAAAATGAGAAAGAAGTGTAACTGGGCCATACTCTCACAATAGGGGGGCGATTTCATTGCTATATGACAATGAGTCTGCTGTCTGCCTCATCCATAATCCCGCTCTCCAACAGCGCAAGAAGTACATAGAAGTGGCCAGGCACTTTACTCGGGATGCTGCGCGCTAGTAGGAGGTTGTGGTGCAGCCAGTACGCTCTCAGCTCTAGGATGCCAACATGCTTACCATTACCCTCCCGGGCTTGAAGCTGAACGAGAACCTTGAGCGCATCGGCATGAAGGTGAAGATTGAAGTGGCCAAGGCGTGACTAGCTGGTGGGGCCCTATTTTGATGTAGATAGTTGTGTTTGATGCTTACTTGAGTAAAGGGGGATGCTGGAATTATGGGTTGATTTGGGCTGCTCTAATAAACATAGTTACTGTAGAGTGTTGGAAAAAAACAAAAAAGTATAGACTACAAATGTGTTAGATGGGAGACCTTATGTTGAGCCATCTCACAAACCCTTTAGGTTAGGATTCTCATGTCCGACTTTCCTCCTAGCTTCTTAGACTCTAAAAAGAGGCTCTAACTTCTAAGGGTACATTCGTATAGGCCTCTCGTCGCGGCAGTTCATAAAGCGATGAACGGTTTCTGCCTATTCTCCCACTCGTTATTTTGGCACGCCGCTGCTGCGCGATTTTTGTAACCACATGATTGGTGTCCACTATGTTCCGTAATTGAACACATGAATTGGAAACAACCCTGCGACAGCTGCGAAGTGGCGCATGCTCCAAAAAATTGGGAGCGTTGTATCTACGACAGCAGTCCAATACCCAAGCACGGCAACCCAAAATTTATGCTAAGCCACTTGATCATGATGTCCTGTTTAGGATATTGTGTTTCCCTTGCTCGAGTGTGTGCCTAGTGTGCAGGACGTCTGTGTGTGTTCGCCCCGCTGACACGCTTTGCATGGGACAGCATACTACTTGGTGTTATGGAAATTGTGTTTTGAACATGCGTAGCAATCAGTATGTGCATATAGTCGGTCAACAAAACACCGCTTGCCATGTTGCCTTGTTGTGACGATGAGCTGGGACAAAATGCCGCGCGACTCAGAAAATTGACAAAATCTAGATTGCCAGAGCTCGTAAGGATGTATCCTATGATTGCAATAGCTTCCGATAGTCTATTAGAAAGCTGCACACAAAGGGCTTGACCATCCAGACCGCTCTTTTACCGAAAGTTACATCAATGCCACTATAGTGCGGATGCAGCTCCTTAGGGATACGCTATGGGTGAAAAATCAAATAGATTGGGAAGAAGGGTACATATATTTCTTCTTTAAAGCTTGCCATGCTGATCAAGGACAAAATTGGTCTGATCGATAAAAAAATATGAAATCGGTTGTCTGACTGGCTTTTCTACCACCCGCCGTCTCACCGCTTCCTCCACTCTCGTAACGTCACCTTTGATGAGTCTGTCTCCTTCTACCGCCACTTCCCTCACCAAGGTCTCCCGGTTGCCCCGCCCCTGTTCCTGGCTCCCTCTCCCCCGGTAGCCCCTGCTCCTCTCCCGCCTCGTCCTGCCCTGTCTGGTGTCTCTCACGTTACTCCCCTCCCGTCGGTTGTCCCCGTTGAGGAGTTTGCTGACTCTGGTGGTCCCCCCGGCCCGTCCTTGCCGCGTCCCCCTTCCCCGGTGTCTCCGCCTTCCCTGCCGCTGTCGCTGTCGCCGCCGTCGCCGCCGCCGCCGCCGCCGTCGCAGTCGCAGTCACCGCCAGCGCCGCAGCCGCCGTCGCCGCCGCCGCCGCTGCCGTCGTTGGCCTCTGGGGGTGCTGGCGTTGAGGAGGGTGTTCGTCCTGCGGCTCCCGGGGGTGCCGCTGGAGTTGGAGGGGGTTCTTGCTCTGGGGGTGTTGGTTTTGGGGGTGCTGCTGTTGAGGGTTCCGCCGACGGTCGTCCTGCCTCTGCCGGTCCGAGGGTTCCGGCCGAGCTGTCGCAGTAGCCGCAGCAGCCGTCGCCGCCGGACTCCGCTCTCCGCCTGCTCGGCCTTCCCTCCCCGGACCGCGTGCCGGTGTCTCCCCCACCGCCTGCTGACCTTCCTGTCTACGGTCCTGTGTTCCCGCCGCCGGACTCGTCTGCGGCCCGTCTTCCTCCACGTTCCCCTCCTGTGTCCCCTCCGATGTCCCCTGACCCTACACCTCCGTCTCACGTTTGGTCTCACCTCCGTCTCGCCGTCCCTCCCGTGCTCGTCCCGTCTCTCCTGTCCTTCCCACCCACCCTATGTTGCTCCATTCCCGCTCGTCTCGTCCTCCCCTCCTCCCGTCCCCTCCTCCCTCGTCCCTTGCTGTTGCACCTTCTCCGTTCTCTGACTACCTCCGTGCCGCTCGTCCCCTTGTCCCTCGGGTCCTTGCCTCTCTTGTTACCGACCCTGCTGTTCCTCTCTTGCGCCTTGACGCACTTGTCGCTGCTGTCGCTGACTTTGCCTCTACCCGCCGCCTTGACTACGCTACCGCTCTGGTCTCAGACCCTGCCCGTCCTCCGTCCGTCGGGGGTGCGCCTGCTCTTGGCAGTGACGTCCTAGAGGACAGGCAGTACGAGCTTGCTTTCCTCTCTGAGGCTGCTCCCCATCTCTGCTCCATGTTGTTAGTCCTTGAGGGTGACCCAGACGCCTTCGACATCCCGACCCCTCGCACCTATGCTGAGGCCACCTCGGGACCTTGGGCCTCTCAGTGGATAGCTGCCATGGAGCAAGAGATGGCATCTTGGAGGTCCACCGGCACTTACGTCGACACAGTTCCCCCGCCTGGGGTGAACGTAGTCGATGGTCGGTGGCTCTTCAAGGTGAAGCGCCCCCCTGGAGAGTCGCCTGTCTTCAAGGCACGCTACGTGGCCAGAGGTTTCAGTCAGCGAGAGGGGGTTGACTTCTTCCAGAACTTCGCCCCGACCCCGAAGATGACCACTCTTCGGGCGTTGCTACACGTAGCAGCACAACGCGACTACGAGCTTCACTCCCTCGACTTCTCTACTGCCTTTCTTCAGGGCAGCCTACACGAGCAGGTCTACCTGCGCCGACCACAGGGCTTCACTGGTACCTTCCCCCCTAGGACCCAGTGGCTTCTCAGGCGCCCGGTCTACGGCCTGCGTCAGGCTCCTCGCGAGTGGCACGACACGCTGCGGGCCACGTTAGCAGACCTGCAGTTCTTTCCGTCCTCTGCTGACCCCTCGCTGTTTGTGCGTTCTGGCCAGACTCCGTTCTACATCCTTGTCTACGTAGACGATCTGGTCTTCACTACTGCTGACAGGGACGCACTGGCCTCTGTGAAGGCCGAGCTTCTGAAGAGACACACCTGCACTGACCTTGGAGAGCTGCGTCGCTATCTTAGCCTGCAGATCTCTAGGGACAGAGCAGCACGCACCATCACTCTGACACAGTCACACTTGGTGCGTCAGGTCCTTCAGAGGTTCGGTCTTCATTTCTCCTCCGCAAAGCCCACAACTCTACCAGTAGACCATGGGCTCTCCGCTCCCGTTCCTGAGGAACCAGTAGAGCCCAGTGGCCCCTACGCAGAGCTGGTGGGTTGCCTCATGTACCTGATGACTTGCACTCGCCCAGATCTCGCATACCCTCTCAGCATCCTGGCTTGCTTTGTGGCTACAGGTAGACACCGACCTCAGCACTTGTCTGCCGCTAAGAGGGTTTTGCGTTATCTTGCTAGTACATCGGGCATGGGGTTAGTGCTAGGAGGACGCAGGCCAGTGGTCCTCACCGGGCACACAGACGCTTCTTGGGCAGACGACTCTGAGACGCTCAGGTCGTCGCAGGGCTACTGTTTTAGCCTTGGTTCGGGTGCTATCTCTTGGAGATCCACTCGCTCGTCGTCTGTGGCTCAGTCTAGCTGTGAGGCTGAGATCTACGCTTGTGCCATGGCGGCACAGGAACTCCGCAGGCTGACCTTCTTGCTCACAGACTTAGGTGAGTGGCCTAGCTCTGCCCCGGTCCTGTACGCTGACAACAGGGCCATGATACTCCTGTGTCAGGAGCCTCGGCTTGAGGGCAGAGCGAAGCATATCCAGCTGCGGTACTTCCTCCTGCGCGAGCTACAGCAGCGCCGCTAGGCCCGCGTAGTTCACTTGGCCTCAAATGCCAACACATCTGATATCTTTACTAAGGCGCTTGCGCCTAAATATCATCAGCGGCACTGTGTACAGCTTGGTCTTGTTCCTGTAGCTACTCACCTGTTAGGATCCTGATTGTGTACTCTATTATATATGCTTGTCAAACTGGCCTTGTGGCCTTACCTCCAGTCGCTGGACTAGTAGTGCCGCCCTGGCTTGCTTTAGTTTTGTTTGTATTCTTGCTGACTGGTCTCCAGACCCCTGCCTCAGTGGTTGGACTAGTAGTGCTGCCCTGAGCTGTTTGCTTCTTGCTTAGCTTCACCCCTTGTCTAGCCTAGGGGGTGTGTCAACTTATACATATTAGCTATGTAAAAGTTATAGGCTAGAGTGAGGTATGCCTCTAGTGAGTACAACCAACTAGTATTTGCTCTAGGTTTCCACTTCTAGTCAATCATTCAGTTCTTACTTTAACATGTCGTGTATATCCATAACAATTAAACACCCATACCCGCTCAAGCTACCCGGGGGAGCTTAATTCCGGCAGGTGTTTTGTACGGGGGAATGCGGGTGTTTCATTCAAATGTTTTATGTTGTCCCCTCTAATCCTGTTCTCTTGTTCTTTGTGTTGAGAGATGACTTCTCACAACACAATCCTCAATTTTTTCTAACGGTATCACCATACATGTGTTGTCATTTGAGTGTCGCCCCTATACCCGGATAAACGCCTTGCGGGCGAAAAAAAACGAGCCAGGCGTATATCCTGTAGAGCACGATACACAACTCATCCTTGTGCCACCATCCATTCATAAATACATAAGACGCTTGAAGCAAACCACGCTCGCAACAAATTTCTCTCTGCTGGAAACATGTCAATCTCACATCGAGTAAGTTCTGTACCTCCGTCTCTTCACGAACAGCGTTGAAAGAACCTTGAGCAGCACTTTCTCATTGAGTGGCTTCTGCACCGCCCCATCCATGCCGGCCTCGATTGCACGGGCAGCAACGGTGCTGTCGACATCTGCTGACATAGCCACCACATGCGTGCGCTGCTGCCGTTGTGGGCCCCCCTCCAGGCCCTCAGCAACCCCCTCCAGCAGCTCTGAGATGCGCTCCATGCGCCCCGCGCCCCCCTCCATGGCGCGCAGCTGGGCCGTGGCCTGGTAGCCGTCCATGAGGGGCATGTGGAGGTCCATGAGCACGAGGCGGAAGGAGTGCGGCGGCTGCAGCAGCAGCAGAGCCGCCTCGCCTGACTCTGCCAGTGTGACGTCAGCACCGTATCGCCCCAGCGTGCTCGCTGCCACCCGCCGGTTTATCACATTGTCGTCCACCACCTGGTTGACAGGGGGATGAGGATGGATGGAGAGAGGAGAGACAAAGTCTATCATGGGCTGTTTGCAGGTGGGGGGGAAGGAAACATGGGAGCTTGACCTGAATGTCAGAGTTGGGGGTGGGAGGGAACGAAGGAAGAGGGGGAAGTATCAACGAGTGGAAGGGTCACTCGTTGTCCCAGCAGATGCCAATAACTTCAACGAATTCCCCGAGCCAATGCTCCTCACCAGGATCGCCATGCCGTGGAGCATCTTCTTGAGTGTCTCCTTGGTACTCTCCACCTTCTCAACCCCCCTCTCCACCCCACTTGTGCTTTCTCCCCCTCCACATCCCTCGCTCGCACTCTGGCTTCTGCTGGGATGGGGCCCACTGTCTCCGCCAGCATCACAACCAGCAGAGGTAGCAGAATAAGCCACAGCAGCAGTGTGAGCAGAAGAATCGCCAGCAGCAGAATCAGCAGCAGCAGGAATTCGAGAAGGCGCAGCAGCAGCAAAGGGCAGAGCCACATGCAGAGTGGTGCCATGGCCCTCCGTGCTGAGCAGACCAATGCTGCCACCCAAAAGGGACACCTGGGACAAGTTGGGGTAGGGGGAGGGTGTAATTAAGCAGACCAGTTGAACCTTGCACTCGCAACTCACTAGGGATGACATGTGCGATGGAGCCAAGGCAATGGAGCCAAGGCGATGGAGTCGACACCTGCGCCGCTGCCTCAGAAATCAGAATCTCTGCTAACACCTCTGCCCGTCATGATCTTTGCAATCCATTGGCTGAAGCTGTCGCCAGCTGTCAAACAAGACTCGCAAGCTGTCAAGCAAGACTTACCAGCTGTCGCGACAAGTGAAGGCTCATGCCACTACCGCCATGCGCATGCCTCTTCTGGTGTGGCTGATGGGTGGGTGGTGCATTGCAAAGAGGCGCATCAATGAGAAACAGTAGTGGGTGCAGCAGCAAAGTTGGATGGCGCCACTTCACAGCTACCGACTCTGTACCCTGCTCAGTAGAGTGCAGTGCGGATATCAACCAATTTACAAAGCGCTGCATGCCAAAAATTATTTTGCACATCAGCCTACTGCCTATTTGTCCAAATTCCATAAGTTTGGACCAAGACACATGCCGACAACATTGAAGTACTCCTGATTCTTGTTCACATGATTTTAGGCATCGTATCCACCTTTTGCTTTGCTCATGACAACCTCAGGTGGGCTCATGACCGCTCGTGAAAGACCCATGCTGAGATTGTGAGACGCTCACAGAATATGTGTCTGACAGTGCGTCACAGGGGTCAGGCTGGAACCTCATCACGCTCCACCCACCCTGGCCATCCAACCTTCTCCAGCCATCGTGCCACGCGCCTCACTGCCTAATAAGCACATTGAAAATAATTCCTGACACGTGGTACGCGGCTCACCTGCATGAACGCGTGAAAGACATCAGCTTGCTCCGCCTCCGCAATCCCACACCCCGTGTCCTCACATGTCAGCAGCAGCACCAAGCGCCTGTCAGCATCCCCCTCAGACTCACCCCCCCCTTCCATGGGAGCCCCCCACCACCACCTCCTCTCTGCATCCATCCACGCGCCCTTGCTGCCACCCCGTGCTGTTGCTGCTGCTGCTACTGCCCTCCCTGCCTCACACGTGTCACCTCCCCCAGATGCACCTCCTCCACATGGGCCAACACATGGCCCATCCCCCTCCCCCTCATCTGCCTCCCTCAATAAGGCTCCCTCCTCCCCACCCTCTCTCAAGCCAAGGTTGCGCCCTCCTTCCTTCTTCCCCTCTCCACTCTTCTCCAACGCCAACAGTCCATGTGCCTCACCTGCCGTGCCCCCAGCACCCCCTGCCCGCGCTGCTGCATTCCCCCCTTCACCTCTCCCCCCGGCCTCACCTCCGAGCCCTCCACTGCGCCCAGGCTCTGCATTTGCCCCATCTTCCCTCTCACACTCCCTTTGCCCCTCTTCCCCCTCACACTCCCTTCGCCCCTCTTCCCCCTCACACTCCCTTCGCCCCTCTTCCCCCTCACACTCCCTTCGCCCCTCTTCCCCCTCACACTCCCTTCGCCCCTCTTCCCCCTCACACTCCATTCGCCTCCCTCCATCCACACACTCCATTCGCCTCTCCACTACCTTTCCCCCCCGACTCTTCCCATCCTTCCCCCTCTCCCTCCCCCTCTCCCCCTCCATGACCACGGCTGTGTGCCACGGGCTTGAGAAGAGCCCAGCATTGAACGAGGTCAGGCGCTCCCGCAGCACCATGACGGCCGCTGCCAGCCCGCGCTGCTCCACCTGCTCCATGAACGGCGCCCTCGCTGCACCCCCCCCCTCATTGCCACGCGCAGCAGCTCTGGTGGCAGCGGCGGGAGCGTTGGCAGCAGCTGGGGTGTGTTGAGCCACGTGGCAGCCGAGTGATCTAAGGTGAGCGGGGATGTCGGTGGTGGCGGGGAGGCACTGCAGCTGCACACACACCCCTCCACTGGACGTGAACTTGATGGCGTTGTCTGCAGCAAGCACAGCGAGCGGCAGGCACGGAGTGCATAGGACATGAGGAGGGCAAACAAGACATCGCATCATCAAACCTGCTGTGCGCTGAAATCAAGCAACCAGAGGAAGATCAATGGTTGATAACAATTGCTCAGCTGAGGACTCGAGTGGCTCACCAACGATGCTGTCCACCACTTGCTGCAGGCGCAGGTAGTCCCCCACCAGCACCTCCGGCACACCCGCATCCACGCGGCAAGCGACTGGGCATGGGCACATGAACAAACATTCAGAGAAAAAACACATGTGCATGTCAGAAACATGAGAGGAGCAATCTAGAAAGCGAGAAGAACGAAAAGGAAGGTGTGAAGATGGAAGGGGCAAAGTTGGAAAGGACCGAAGAAGGGTGCTCTCCTTACAGTTCAGGTGTCGAGCCTGCGCGGCGTGTGCATGGGTGTGCAGCGCCTCGCGCAGCCAGGAGCGCAGGTGGAAGGGCAGGGACTCCAAATGCAGGCGGCCGGCCTCGGCCTTGGAGACGTCGAGCACGACATTGATGAGCGCCAGGATGCGCTCCACCTCGCCCACCGCCGTGCCCACGTCCTCCCGCTGCCCCTCGTCCACCTGGCCCTCCGCCAGGTCCTCCAACATGCCTGCTCGGGGCGCAGCGCACACCGACACAGGGTGAGGCACGCCCCATGTTCTTTGCACACTGCACACCATACTGCAATTTCCTTGTCAGAATATTTCCGTTCTTTGCAGACAAGTGCTCTCACAACATACACAACAACCTTCATGAATCGAAACCGCAAGCTACATGATCATCCAAGGTTAAAAAAATACGGTTTTCGAAAAATACGGTCCGTATTATTCAACCGTCTTTTCCGGGGATTTTTGGAAAACAAAACGCCGTTTTTAAAATATAGTTTTTTTTTTTTTTTTTTTGGTAGTCAGCCTAATCGTCCGCCAGATCCGCGCCATTCGTCCGCCCAAATGCGAGATCCGCGCATTTCGACGGGCGAAATGTCAGACCTCCGTATTTCGGCTGACAAAACGTCAGATCCATACATTTCGTCCACCAAAAACGCAAGATCTGGCACATTTTGGTGGGAAAAATGCCAGATCCGTGCATTTGGGTGGGCGAAATGCCAGATCCGCACATTTCGTCGGAGTTTCTTGCGCCTTCAAAAAAAAAAAAAAAAAAATCGGCCGCTTTTTTTAACCAACCTATTTTTGCACAATTTTCACCGTTTTTTTCGTACTAAACGGCCGTTTAATACGGCAAAAAAAAAAAAAAAAAAAAAAAAAAAAAGGCTTTTTTTTAACCCTGTGATCATCTCTGCAACTGTTTTGAGTCAAACACACAGCAAGCCAGTCCCACCATCATCAACAAGCACCCATGAATGACCATGGATATTCACTGGACGGTCCAGGGTCTGTCCGGCCCGTCCCAGGCCCGCATTTTGCCGGGCTCCAGCCACTCTTGCCTCTTGCCTGGCCCGAGGCCTGCGCGGTCCGTCGTCGACCTCGATGTCGGGCCGACTCAGTTCGGTGTGGGCCACCTTGTAGGATCGGGCCGGTCCGTCCCGTGGGCGGGCCTTGCCCCGCCCACCATGTAACCAGCGGCCTCGTGCCGGCTTAGAAGCCGGTCCGGCCCGTACTGGTGAACATGCCTATGAATGACTCACACCATTCACACCAACCATTCCCACGCACCCCTGACGCCGATGATCGGCGTGCGGAGCTCATGAGCCGTGTTGGCAATGAAGGCACTCTTGTTCCTCTCAGCCTCCTGCGTCTTCTCCTTGAGCATCTCCAGCGCCGCCGTCTTCTCCCGCACGGCCCGTGTGTTGCACGCCACGCTCACACCGATGGCGGCCAGCAGCGCCGCCACCACCACTATGACGGTGGCCAGCAGAATGGCCGTCCAGCTGTGCGCTGTGTCCGAGCCGCCGAAGCTGGCAGCACAGGGGTGGCATGGGGAGTGTGAGGGGCAGCACGGGGAGTGAAGAGGCAGCATGAGGAGTGTGTACAATTCTAATTCAGCCCTAGAAACTAAGGGTGGGATGGAGGAGGTCGCTCTCAGTAAGACGGCCAACATGGAAGGTATAAGCAGACCAACGAATGACCTGGCGACATCTCACCGGCACCAGAGCTCGTAGGATCGCGAAGAGTCGGTGAGGTTGATCTGCTGCACGGACTTGTAACGGCGTGGCTGCAGCATGGTTTCATTGGAGGGCGGAATGAGCTTTGACACCTCATAGGGGTTCCCTTGAGGCAAATCGCCCACTCCGTACAGCAGGCGAGGGCCGGGTGGCGGGGAGTTGGCAGGGATGGGGAAGGGGATGATGTCGGTGGAGGTGACGTCATAGACCTCGAGGGCATACTCCACACCTGGAAAAGGAAGAGAAGAAAACACATTTCGAAGAGACCTCATGCTGATTCTTGATCACTAAAATAGATCATGTAAATTGCTCTTTTCAACACTACATGTGGAAAACAAGCAAGCACACAGTAAGAAACAAGCGGGAAGGAAGCAGCAGCGCGCACCTTGCCGAAGGACCTCGTTGATGATGAACGCGGCGAGGCTCTTGAAGTCGATGGACGCCGCAATCTGCCCGATGAACGCCGCCCGCCGCTCCGCCAGGGGGGATGATATGTTTATGCCGGCCCTAAAGATCGGAAACCCCATGCCTGGCCAGCGGTTCAAATGGTGAGGAAGCGCGTTAGAGAGTGAGTGAGTGAGTGAGTGGTGAGTGAGAGTGGTTGAGTGTACTAGAGATGAAACAGAAGAAGAGAGAAAAAAAATGGAAAGGGGGGAAAGACATGTACGAAGGCTTTTGCATGCATGACCTCACCCGTGCCTCGCACCACTCCCACTCACCCATGCCCGCCTCGCCGTTGTCGAGCACGTAGGGCATGCTGAGCTGCTTGGTCGGCATGTCGTGCATGCGGGTGAGCTGCGGACCGTACGAGGGGTGCGTGCGCACGTTGACACAGGTCGACGTCATCTCCAGCAGCGGCAGCGGCGAGTTCTCCTGGAACCACACACGCGAGTTCATGTACCAGTCCGCCACCGGGGCCGGCTTTCCCAGCAAGTCCAAGAGGTGGCAGTGCGCCTGGCGCTCAAAGGCCGCCCTGGGGGGGGAAGGGGGGGGGAGCAAGAGGGGAGTGGACGAGGAGAGAGGACGTGAGGCGGGACGAGCAGAAAAATGGGGAGGAAAAAAAGGAGGAAGAAGCTGACGTGGACAAGGGCACTCAAATCCGCATGGCAGGTCGAGGATGATAAGCAGTGGCAAGAAGAGTCAAGTTCGTTGACATGTGCAAATAGCCAAACAGAGCATCCACACGTGAAATGCCCAGTATGAATTTGGGCCAATCCACAGAGGACGCGAGAGGGGGAGGAAGGGGAACGGGAAGGTGGGGGGGAGAGAGGGGGTGATATGGAGGGATGGACGGAGGGAGGGGGGAGGAGGGAGGAGGGGGAGTGGAGGGGGGAGGAGGGGGAGTGGAGGGGGGAAGGAGGGAAAGGGTTGTGGGAGGGAATTGAGGGAGGAGCTGGGGGGGAGGAGGGTGGGGGGGGGGAGAATGGGGGCGGATGGGGAGGTGCGGTGCAGCGCACCTGTCGGAGCCGTTGATGACGGCCATGTAGCCCACGGCGTGCACCCAGGGCTGCGCGGCGATGGTGCGCTCCACGAAGTGCACAAAGCGCCTCTGCGTCATGCAGCTGCCCACCGCCCAGGGGTTCCTCCGCACGCCGCCAAACACCGTGGCCAGACCCGCCAGCACCTGATGGGCGCATGGATGGCGCATGGATGGCGCATGGATGGGGCATGGACGGGAGATGGATGGCGCATGGATGGGGCATGGATGGCGCATGGATGGGGCATGGATGGCGCATGGATGGGGCATGGATGGCGCATGGATGAGGCATGGATGGGGCATGCATGGGGCATGGATGCACCTGTGGCCAGCCCCGCCGGCACGTGATGGGCGCATGCGCGTAAGGGGCACATGCATGGATGCATAGGTGGGGCCACACAGCCGCACAAGAGGGGCAGGGCACAAGACGGGCAGGGCACAAGAGGGGCAGGGCACAAGAGGGGCAGGGCACAAGACGGGCAGGGCACAAGAGGGGCAGGGCACAAGACGGGCAGGGCACAAGAGGGGCAGGGCACAAGAGGGGCAGGGCATGGGTTGATGGGGAGAGGAAGGAGTACGGCAGGCAGGGGGTGCGTCCATGCATGGACGGATGGGGGGCTCATCAAGTAAGCAACCCGCTCCTTGACTGACTGGAGCACGGCGGGGCTCAACAGAGCATGCAGCCCGTGAATCTTGTTCAGGCCCGGCGTCCTCGGTTACACCCTTCCCCTCCCCCCTTCCCCCACCCCCATCGCTCCTCTGGCCGCCAGCGTCCACCAGGACGGCGCAAGGACGGCTAGATCATCTCAACATCAATTTTTGGGTTTCGTCCCGTGGCGCATCTCTCGCCGCAACCTCAGCCGTCCAGCAACACATCAAGCCCAACCAGACATCTCCGATGAGAGCAGCGCGAAGCCCTCGTGCAGTGCAACGACAGCGGACTCGGGGCTCGTCCAGCGGCGGCCAAGGTGAGCTCTGGGCGCCCGTTTGCCGCCAATGAATCACGGCGCGGGGTGTTACAACTCGCTCGCCTTACTGACAGTTAGCCTGGAGAAAGTGCGGCGGCGACGAGCGACTGCTGGAGACATCGCAATCCCCAAAGCAGCGCGCCAACCACCGGCGGGCAGCGATGGTCCTCCCCTTCCAAGATTCCACGCCCCGGCGCCCGTCGTCAGCGCACGGACGTGCGAACCTACTCCGTCCGTTGCTGCACCCACGCCCCCGCACGGGATCGAGGGAGACCCAGACCCGGCGAAGGTCCAAGCGCGACGTGCCATAATCCCGCCCCCCCCTCGGCCCCTTCATTGCGCTACACCCACGCGGGACGCTCCGAACCTGACCCCGCGTGACGCAGACCTCCATTGACGCTGCTGAGCGACCCCACGAACGCTGGCTTCCATTGAGTAACGCTAAATGCGGCTCTCAATGCGGGGCTCTCGGCGACCCGCGGGCTTTCACTGCAGAAGCTATTAAGTTTGGGGCTGTGTCGGGGGCGGCGTGAATGTCGCTTGCCTGCACGTCGTCGCTACCTGCACGTCGTCGCTATCTGCACGTCGTCGCTACCTGCACGTGGTCGCTACCTGCACGTGGTCGCTACCTGCACTTGGTCGCTACCTGCACGTGGTCGGCGGTCAGCATAAACTGCTGCTGCAGCGAGCGCGCGCGACCGGCGCACCAGGCGTCGAGCTCCGCCTTGCGATTGTCGTCGAAGCCCTTCTGCACCCTCCACGCCACCAGCCCCGCCAACACGCCCGCGCACGCCATCCACACCGCCACCGCCGCCGCCATTCGCGCCACCAACGCCCGACTCGGCATTCTCTTGGGAAACATTTCTGGAGGTTTCATACCGTGTTTGAACGGCGGTCACCAGTACTGACTATGAACGTAAACAACTGCGAGTCGTGCGAGGCTCCATCACCAGTTCCAAACATGAAAGTAAAATCTAAGCTGCATAACTAGCTAGAATCTGAGCGAAATGAAACATCCAACCCTAAAATTCGTTATACCTACCCGTGCCTCCATTGTCAACAACGCAAGATCAACTGGCACAGGATACTCAGGTAGACTGCGACAAGGAGGATGGTCACTCAGGGCCCACTCAGACGGGGTAGTTACTCTGATAGCCAAGTTATGTGATACCAATTTCGGGAGATTGCAGGGGTTCCTCTCAATGTTTTGTCCATTGCGAGGATTTCCACGGATGTGTAGCAAGCCGGGACGCTGTGACGTAAAAGTTTTGCATAGTCGAGGGGAAAGGGATCGGCTTGGATTCCCCCACTTCATTCCCCCTTCGTCCGTTCAATCACTCTTCGTTGCTCTCAGTGGAATAACACAACAGGATTCGTCGAAACAGATAGCCGATGAAATACACCTGTTCACAGATAATGCTTTAATGTACATTACTTTGCTTGCACAGACGTTTTTACGAATTTAACCTGCTCTGATTCCCGTAATGTAGTCTCAGGGCCAGTTAGAACGCGTGTCAGGCGGTCGGTACAGCCCTACCTGACACCTGGAAGCACATACAGCACTGGAGTCATAGTAATTCGAAGCACGCGGCAACATTTCCTGCTCTCAGAAACCGGTAAACATCGCGTCTACACGTCAATTTCAGCGTCGCGTGTATTCACAGTCCAACTGCAGCGAAACAAGCCGAGCCAGTAAGCATTCCTCATGACCTAGGTCTGCGACTCCTGAAATGTGAACAAATCTCCCGAGCAAGCCTCACGAAATCATGCGAGCCAAAACAGACAAGCGCAAAGTGTGGCGTGATTTGCATATACGGAGCGACGTGCACCAGGCGACACCGCAACAAGACAACACACCAAAGGACAACTGGGCGTCGCCTCACAAGTCGAGAATGACTTTACTACAAGACAAACCCCTGTGCAAATGAACACAGCGAGTCTGCCACCCAGCGCAACTCGCTTTCCCTCTCGTTGTGGTTGTACACAGTTACAGTCGCTTGTGTCGCAGGCGACCTCGCTAGTGAAACCTGGCGACACTTTCAGTGCCCCTGGTGTCAAGGGTCGAGCAGTGGCCGTTAGGTCGATCTGTTCCCCGGGTCAGCTCGGCATACCTGTAGCAACTGCCTGACACGCGATCTAACTCGCCCTCAATGACCAGCTACAACTCCCAAATAGGTTCGACCGGCAATTTTTGATTCAGAAGATAACAAACAAGCTTCTTACTGTGGAGATTGGTGATCGATTTCACATCGTTTGCTTCGAGAATCTCTCGCGCGGGCCGTGGTGCTCAAACACACTGTGTTTGAAAGGGGCTGGGGCGAGGGTTACGTGGGCTGTTTTGCTGGGGTTACCTTCTCCTTGCAATGTGGTCGTGGGCTGTTTCAGGGATGCTTGGCATGCGTCCTCCGATCTTAGCGACGGCGCTGGTTTGGAGGATCCATCCGTCTGTCCCCCACAGTTCCATATCTTGCACCAACCACGTGTTCCAGGTTGTACAAGTCATATGTGATTGGTGCAACGACAACTAGCGCAAAAAATTCGCAGGTGCAATTATTCCATAGTTCTTGCGATCCACCTACTCACTGGCTGACGCTGAAACACCACGCTAACCCATCGACACCCCATTTGCAATGAGGGAAACTTGTGGAGTTCCGCCACGTACTCCTCCCCGTCGACATGTGCTGTAGTTTTGAAATGATGTAGTTTTGATATTTGTTTTACGTTTTTTTTATGTCTCCAACTTCATATATTTACGAGTCTTCCTATAGTATAATCAATTGATGGTTTGGAATCAAATCTTATTTAGTTCTGATGGAAAAGCATCAATTCAAGCGAAATTATACAATAACTTCAAGGTTCAAAGGAATTTGAACCTTTAAGAGGGGCGGCGAAAACAGCGAGGAGCGCACACTCGCAAAAAACCCAAGCACGGCCCACGCGAAATGAAGAGCTCTCGCAACGGAAGGAACGACCTCGCCAACGCTGATGACGTCACAAGCTTGGGCTGTTGGCGATGTCCTGACCCCGCTGCGCCTAAGAAGGTGTTCGTAAACACGCAAGTAGGCTGGGTATTTAGAGGGGGTTCGTATTGAGATTGAGCTAGGAGGTAAGTTGCGTCGCCCGTCGCTGCCTTGGCCTGCGCTCGAATCAGGAGTGCGCGATAGTAATCTGCCACTGCCAAAGCTGAGTAAGAAAGAGACTGTTTAGCAGGTACCCGAGGTGAGCCCATATTACCATCGCGTTGGAGATAGCATTTCACTCTTGTTCAAATCTGTGTATGAAGAACTATTCCCCCTCAACCATGTCAATGTTACAGAGGAGGCCAAAGACATTGACGAGGCACAGGAGATCCGTGTCACCATTATCTGGAGTCAGCAGTACCTAGCTGATGGCTTTCTTAACTGTCTATGGGCACGTTGGGGGGAAGTGGGTAAAGGTGCGAGGTGTTGACAAGGATGATAATCCTGTAAGCCACAAATACACCATGCACGAGCAGCAGATCGAGGGACATGTGTGCTAGAGCAACTACCCCAAAAGCGAGCTGCTGTGTGCAAAATTCGCGAAGGACAGCATCACAAACTTCAAGGGGCGGCTACTCAACCTGCAGAAGCTTGGGTTGACAAAGCTGTTCCGGATGTCAAAGTGGCCGCGACAGAAGTGAATGAGGGAGAAGAAGATCAAGGAGTCCTTGCATGGCTACAATGGGTTTTTTCGGCAACAAGTTGCCCGACGTTGACTTGAGATATGCGGAAGAGGAGCTACAGACATGGACGCCTACTGAGCCACCATGCCAACGAGGGATTTCTCCAAGGCCACTTGAATTACTTTTGTGCGACGGATTCATCCTAGCAAGTATCTCTTGCAGGACAACATCAAACGTGCCAGAGTCGTAACCGCGGCTGATTAATGCTTCTAAACCCCCCTTTTCTATGCTCCCCTATGCATCGATGGCAGGAGCGGGCCCAATCTCATTGATTATGGCAGGCGTGTGTAGTGCTAACACTGTCTACACTGGAGTGCGAACGCAACTTCTCATGCCAGGACGTCATCAGTTCCTAGTTTCGTGGAGCCTTGTGCAAAGTGCGTTTGACTGAGCACATGGCCACCTCCCTGCTACAGCACGACATCAAAGGGATTGACACACCTTTGTGTTGGCGAGAGAAGTTGAGGCGCTCTAATGAGTCAGTACTTTTCGCTGCAGAGGAACAGAAGTAGTGAAGGATTCAGGACGGAGTCTAAATGAATTTAGGAGCTAGAATGTCTTAAATTATACATCCAAAATTCTGGACAGAGAACTCTTCCCCATTGAAAACGTCGCCGACACATCTATAGCGGCAGCCATATCACAAAACCTTATCATTGGTTGCAGCTTGTGACCTTAGCTAGCCGTTTAAACTCAAATCATCGCAACAAGTTATGTAATGGTAGTCCCGAAATACAAGGGGGAGAGGGAGGAGGAGGAGGAGGAGGAGGAGGAGGAGGAGGAGGAGGAGGAGGAGGAGGAGGAGGAGGAGGAGGAGGAGGAGGAGGAGGAGGAGGAGGAGGAGGAGGGGGAGGAGGAGGAGGAGGAGGAGGAGGAGGAGGAGGAGGAGGAGGAGGAGGAGGAGGAGGAGGAGGAGGAGGAGGAGGAGGAGGAGGAGGAGGAGGAGGATTCGGGGGGATGCCCCAGCACTAGAAGACGACCCATTTCTATTTGACGATGAAGCTGCCAATGATTCTAGAGCACTTACAAAATAGGGTAGGCAAACAGAGCCCTAAGGGTTGGGAAAAAAAACAAAAGAAAAAAAGGTGGCATATCTCTTTAAACGCTAGCCTTGGTGCTAGAGTTCTAGTCAATGCCTCAAAAGTCAAGACAAATAGGCCTGAAAATGTATATATCAGGGTGTCTCTTCAGGGTGTTTTTTTTCTCAGTTTTCTCTCTCTCTCTCTCTCTCTCTCTCTCTCTCTCTCTCTCTCTCTCTCTCTCTCTCTCTCTCTCTCTCCCTCTCTCTCTCTCTCTCTCTCTCCCTCTCTCTCTCTCTCTCTCTCTCTCTCTCTCTCTCTCTCTCTCTCTCTCTCTCTCTCTCTCTCTCTCTCTCTCTCTCTCTTTCTCGCTCTCGCTCTCTCTCTATCCAGTCCTGAAATCCATGTGTTCTCATTTTGTAAGCGAGCATAACGAGTCAGCCTTTAAGTACTTTTAGCTCGAAATAGAACATAAACTGAACCTTATAAGCCCAAACTCAGTTTGCTGGAGCAAGTGTGAGAGGGGTGATTAGTCTTTGACTAAAATCACATGGACATCACGAGGCATGGTGGAAAATGTGTGAGGAGGAAGGTGATTGGTCCTTAGGTACAATTACGAGCTAGAGCAGGGGTGATGAAGATGATTGGTCTTTGACCAAAATTACAAGGAACCAGCCAGTAGGTAGTGGATTTTCGGCTGTTTTCTCACACACATCACATTTTCGATGTATGTCATTCGCGCTCCCAACCTGCACCTGTCACACCACCTGGCCATCATGCATGTTGCCATTCTGTGATGCCAACTCTGTCCTGCTCCCATCCCCACCCCTCCTCGCAGCTTTCCTGATGCCTCCTATTTCATCACTTTCTTGCGAGCAGGGCTTTTCAAGAAGAGGCCCTTCTGTAATTCCTTTTCTTGCCCCGCCTTTGTCTAGCTGTCCATTTCCACTCTTTGCAACTCTATCTATCATGCGCAATGATAAGGGGTGGCAAATGCATGGCTCGAAATGCGCAGTGGCAAGGAGGCCACTCGACAAGCTAGTGCTCAACTCAGACCCCGGTCAATGCTGGATTTCCTGGAGCATACGGCAAAGAAAGCGAGTTTGTAGAGTAAGGGCTGGCACGTGTCTCGACCCTTTCCCACTGCTGCCTCACAGTCCGTGAAGCTGTTCGCGCATCTTTGCTCCCTCCCAGCCCGGCCCAAGAGTAGCCCGGGTTTGTCGGCTTTGTCGTCCCCCGGGAAATGCACCTACAGGCGGGCTCTTCTATCATTCCAGCTCCCAACAACAATCAATAACCATCTTGCTACTATCACATTCGCAACAGCTCGTGCTAATATGGTTGCGAAGGCATCGCGTGTCGGGTGCTGTGCCAAAGGCGTCTGCATTGGCAAGTTGGCATTTCATGCGGCCAGCTGGTGGTTTGGTGATAACCACGCCTATGCCAGCCAATCCCACCACACGCCCTTCTACTGCACCGCTTCTTCAGTCGCGGATTCAAGCCTCTGCAACCACAGATGAAGAGTTCCGCAAGGCTGCATATCCTTTGTATCTTCAAGTGCTGCCAAGTTTCAAGCAGGATTGGCTGGAGTGTTTTCCTTGGTTGTTCCTTTGTCGTACTAAATATGGCTCTCCCTCTCCTACTGTACGTGTAGTGTGTGTTCGGAGCATGATGTCATTGGGACGAAGGACAGCCGTGAAGGAGAGGGAGCTATGGACGTCATGACGAAGACAATAAAGAAGCATGCTCAAAATGAATGCAAATTGAAAAAGCGAGCAACGTTTGGGCTGGCCCTCCTTCTGCCAACCAACAAGACCCACGCAAGGTGCGTGTGCGGGCTTTCGAATTATGACTACTACATTTGGATATTGGCATTAATTATACCCCTTTCGAAAATTGCACAAATTTTTGTTATCACCCTAGGACATTGTACTTAGTGAACACAGTATTGAAAAAAAATCGTGAGAAAGCAATCCGCCGCAAAACTCAAAACAAACCAAGTATGTGATCTTGGAGGGTCACACAAAAGCATGCGATGTGCGAACAACAGGCGTGAATAGTCACTGTTAGAAATAGATTGCAAATCCTACTTTTGTATTTGTACTTTTATATCCTAGTTTAGGTTATGAATGTTCTAGTGGGTTGGGGTGTACTCACAAATCCCAACCTCACCCAATTGTGATCCCCCCAATCTTCAATTACCCAATTGGAGATTCTGGAGATCCCAATGGAGATTCCCCCCGATTCCCCCTTCATCCATTCTCTCTCACCTTACCATGTACTTATAGAGCCTTGGGCTCCTTATCTAATTAATGATTTCAACTCTATTTCTTTCATGGTATCAGAGCGACCTATCCGCACACGCGGATCAATGTCCTAGTCTTAACGTGCCCCCGCTACGCGTACTTTTTCGTCGCGACATTCGTCTCGAGTCGTCGGAATTTTCGACGTGCTCCACTCTGCAGTCGCGCCTCTCATCGTCGACCGCCTTCGCGCTCGACCTCATTGAATTTCTCAACTCGAAAGCTTTCACGCTTCCCATCATTGATTTCCTCTTCGGTTCTCCTTGGTCGAATCTCAATTTCAACCATCTCTTAAAACTCGTTTTCGAGTTTCCCCTCAGACCCCGCCAGAATAGGCGAACTCCCCTCGCGGAATCGCCTCCACGAACGTCTCGCGTCAAGCAAGAGCAAGTACACAGCTAGTTGCGGAGCTGATTGCAGAGCTGGTTGCGGAGCTGTGTAGCTGTGGGACAGGGCCTTGGGGTGTGTGGGGGGGTGTGTGGGTCCGAGGTTAGACATAGTCTCAGATTCAGTTTCAAGTCGGCGTTTTAACGAATTTCCGCCGACACCATTTCCTTCTCAGCGGCATTTCGACGAAGCCGCCGGTGTGATTTTCAGCAACTCTCGTCGACCGATTTCCATAATTGCCGCGCTGCGCATCAAAGTTCCTATCGGTAACTTAAGAGCGTCGTTTCGCGAAAATCAAGCGGCAATGGCTTACTCAACCACTTCACTCGCCAACCCAATCCCGCTCCTTTGTCTCGAGCCGAACGGCACATGCTCCAACTACAAGGCTTGGCGCTATGGTGTCGACAAGCACCTCCTCAGTCGCAAGGTGAAAGGGCTCGAGCTCACCGACGTCCTTCTCAACATTGATGATGGCAAAGAGCCTCCTAAACCCGAGAGGTCCGTCAATCCAGCTAATGCCACCGCCGAAGCAGTTTATGCTGCTGCACTGCTCAAGTACAAAAATTGGGAGAAGGCCGATGGTGCGGTCATTAGTGTTTTCATGGGTACCACTCCTCCCGAAATCATCAAAACCTGCCACAACTACCCGTCTGCCAACGCCATTTGGCTCTACCTCGAAGACCGCTTCCTGAACAAGACTGCAGTGGGAGTTGCTATACTCATCCCCAGCATGTTCCAAGTGCATCTCGAGGACTCGCCAGGCATGGCGCACTATGTCACCAAGGTGCAGTCCATTCATGGTGAACTCAAGCAGTTGGGGATAGTCTTCCCCGAGCAAGCCCCTGCAGCCGCACTCCTAGTCGGCCTCACTCCGGCATATGAAGTCACACGCAAGATGCTCTTGGGCCTTGCTCCTGCGGACCTCACATTTGCGAAGGTCTCATCTGCGCTCCTTTCTGCCGAAAAGGACAACAGCGCTCAAGCCAAGGCCAATGCAATCCGCGCTCCCGTGCCTCAGGCCTATGCCACTTCGGCACCATTCCAGCGCAAACGGTTTCCCCTGTGTCCCTACGTCATCAAGCACGGCCCTCGTGCCGGCCAGTGTGTGGCGGCACCAACCACGCCCTCGCCTCCTGCTTCAAGAAGAAGGATGACGAGTGGTATGCCGTCAATGGGACCGCCTCGAAGCTGCCAAACTGGATGGTGAATCGTGCTCCTCGCAAGGTCAATCAAGTCGAAGCGCAGGAATCTGTGCAGGCTGCCGTAGCCCCCCCTTCTGATGTGCGCCTCAACATGTTATTCCCTGGCACTGCCATGATTAATGAGACAATTTTGCAGTGTCCCGGCTCACAAAGCACCTCAACCACAAAAGAGTTCACCCTCAACAGTGGGGCCACTCACATAGTTCTCAAGGAAGAACACTCCTTCAAGCCATACGAGACACCAATCTCTCTACTAGGAGCAGGCTCCAGTTTCACAACACACGCCAAGGGCTTCTCCACAAATCCGTGCCCAGCTTTCCCTTCGGGCAGTGTTACCGGCATGTGTGTTCCCACACTACGCCACAATCTCGTGGCCCAACACGAGCTCCAACGGGCAGGCGTCACCACGATCTTCGCAGCACACTCGGATCATTGTGACCTCCTCGATCCTAACTCCAACAAGCTCCTAGCATGCTTCACACTCAACAGCAGTAAGCTCTACACGTCGCGTTCACCTGCACCTCTCGTCGCCCTCTCCCAAGCGCAAGCTGCCAACACCACTCCGTGTTCCTGTCGCAGCTTCGCCAACCCAACCATCCTCTACCACCATCGCTTGGGTCACCCCAACTTCCGTACGCTTGCCGACATCGCTTCCAAGAAACTTCTTCTTGGCCTTCCGTCGGCGCTTCCTCCACCAACAGACTCACCTACACCCACCTGCCTGGACTGCACCAAGAGCAAGCTCAGGCAGCACCCACACCCTTCCTCCCCATCCGTCACAGCTTCTCCGCTGGACCTAGTGCACATGGATGTCTGGGGCCCAGCTCCAGTCGCATCCCGAGGCGGTCATCGGTACTTTCTTACACTAGTCAATGACCACTCGTGGTATGTTTCTGTGCACCTCCTGCATACCAAGACGGAGGCACCTGACCTCATCATGGCATGGGTGCGCCAGGCTCAAGTCACGTTTGGCACTCCTCTGAAGTGCCTCCATTCTGATGGCGGGGGAGAATTTCACAATGGCAAACTCGATAACTTCTGTGCGGCCCAAGGGATTCGGCAAACCTTCACGCTTCCCGAAAGCCCGCAGCAGAACAGCATTGCAGAGAGCCGCAACCACACCTTGGTTCAGATCGCTCGCTGCCTCCTCAGTCACGCAAACGCACCACGGTCACTCTGGGGATATGCCCTCTTCCATGCGGCTTTCCTCTACAATCTTTAACTGCATCCCCACCGGCCCGACACCACACCTACCACTCTCTGGCTTGGGGCCACGCCTTCTGCCCGCTCTCTATGCGTCTGGGGGTGTACCGCGTATGTGTTGCTCGGCCCCCACATGCGCAGGAAGCAAGGTGGCAAGCTTGGTCCCAAAACCCAGACCTGCATGTACCTGGGGCACAACTTCGATTCCCCAGACTACTTATTCGTCAACCCCATCACCAGACAGCTGATTCGCAGCCGTGATGTCGTCTTCGATGAGACACGCCCCTTCCACTCTGCGACCACGGGCGAGCCTCGTCCACCTCCCCCGACGCTTGTATGGGCAGACTTCGATGCCCCACCTCCGGCCGCTGCCCCTTCTCCGGGGCCTTCTCCGTCCGGCATGTCTCACCCGGCCTCCCCGGTATCCTCCGCAGTGGCACCTCCTCTTGCTCCACCTTCCCCACGCGTCGAGCCCGGCTCACCAGTCTCCTACCGGAAGCGCCCAGTCCCTCCGGTCCCTAGTCGCACTCGTTCCAAGGGACCGGCTCCGCCTCTCGCCTGGGGACCAGCCGCCTTCTCCATCCTGTGTTCGGTCACCCCACCTCCTCCTGCCGGGGATGATGTCCCCTCCATCCATATTCCACCCCATGCACTTCTGGAGGACAAGCATGAGGAGCTATTTGACCTTCACGCGGTCTGCCAATTTCTCTCTCACATCTTCCCGGACATTACTGACTGCCCTTCCCTCAACTTCACCGAGAACCCGACCATTCCGACTCCTCGCACAAAAGAGGAAGCTCTCTCGGAGCCTTATAAGAAGGAGTGGAAGGCAGCAATGGATGTGGAGAACGAGGCATTCATTCGCAACAACAGCTTTGACGATGTCGTTCCCATGGAACGACATCGGGGTTTCCTGGCACTTATCCTGCCAACACAGTGTGGAAGCTGAAGCGCCCAGTGTATGGCCTCAAGCAGGCTCCTCGTGAGTGGCACAACAAGGTGAAGGAAGTCCTCCTCGCACTTGACTTACATCCCTCCGCCTCAGATTCCAGTCTTTTCGTTCTTCACTCCTCCGAGCCCTTCTACATCCTCATCTACGTCGACGACTTCATTCTAGCCACCAGAGATCCAGCCGAGATGGCAATTGTCTAGTCTGCTCTCAGCTCCGCCCTTCTCATGAAGGATCTTGGTGACCTCAAGAACTACCTGGGGATGGAGATGACTCGTGACCGCCAGGCTTGCACGATCACCCTCTCCCAGGAGTCCTATATCGACAACCTTCTCAAGTGTTTCGACATAGACTCTAGTAACTCTGTCTCCACTCCATTCTCACTACAGCATCAGCTCACAGCCCCTCCGATTCCTTCTCTTGACACCTGCAAGGACCCGTACCCTGAGCTAGTCAATTCACTCATGTATGCTATGATGTGCACTCGACCAAACTTGGGGTACCCGGTTAGTCTCCTCTCTCGGTATGTCTCCCCCGGACGCTACACTGCCTCCCATTGGTCTGCAGCCAAGAGGGTCCTGCGCTATCTACAAGCCACCAAATCTCACATCCTCACTCTCGGTGGTACCTCTCCAGTCAAGCTCGAGGGATACACAGACTCTTCATGGGCCGATGACCAGACTGACAGACGCTCCTCCCAAGGGTACTGCTTCACCCTTGGTAGTGGAGTCATCAGCTGGCACTCCACTCGGTCCTGTGCAGTCTCCCTGTCGTCCTGCGAGGCCGAGCTCTATGCAGGCACAATGGCTGCTCAAGAGGCACGCTGGCTCTCCTTTCTCCTCGCTGAGTTAGGCTTTCCCCAGCAGTCACCCACCCTGTGGTGTGACAACCAGAGCACCATTCACCTCACCAAGGATCCTTTGCTCCACTCTCGCACCAAGCACATCGAACTTTGTCATTTCTTCATCCGAGATCTTATTCAGATTGACCAGTTGATGGTACGGTACATCACCTCAGATTGCAGCATCGCTGACCTCTTTACCAAGGCTCTCAGCAAGGCTGACCACCATCGCCTTCTCCGTTCCATGGGGCTATGTGCACCTTGACCGGGTTTGCAGTCTATGGGGGTGTGTTAGAAATAGATTGCAAATCCCACCTTTGTATTTGTACTTTTATATCCTAGTTTAGGTTATGAATGTTCTAGTGGGTTGGGGTGTACTCACAAATCCCAACCTCACCCAATTG